ATATTTCATATACCTCTGAGGGTTTTTGGTTGTGTTTCTTTTGTTCACATTCTTGGCCCTCATCGCAAGAAATTGGATCCTAAGGCCAAGAAATGTGTTTTTCTTGGGTATGCTCAGAACCAAAAGAGGTATTGCTGTTATGACCTAGTGTCGAGGAGCAGATTTGTCACTATGGATGTTACATTTTTTGAATCCACATTCTTCTTTTCGAGTGGTTCTCCTCAGGGGGCGAGTTTTGGGGAGAAGAACTCACAATTTGTTCATCTTCTTGTTTCCGTGGTGCCTCTATCAGTTCAGCCAACACCTGCACCTCCGGTTTCATTGCCTGAGCCACTACGGGCAGCCTCATAGCAATATCAACGCCGACATATGATGGTTGACTCCACACCACTGTCTGTCTGTCCTTCTGAAACTCCAGATTCGGCAGATACAGTTCCAAGTATTCCTCTTGGGCCTGAGCCTGTTATATTTTCTGATGATAATGTTTTTGTCTCTAACACCATTGCTACTGACCTTGATCTTCCCATTGCACTTCGTAAGGGGAAGAAAAAGTGTACAACCCACTACATTTCACACCATCTTTCCTACAATGCCTTATCACCCTCCTACCGTATTTTTCTTTCTTCCTTGGATTTTGTGTCTATACCTAGGAATGTTACTAAGGCTCTCTCCAAACCTGAGTGGAAAACAGCCATGCAAGATGAGATGAATGCTTTGGTCAAAAACCAAACTTGGGAAATAGTTGATCTCCCCCCAAACAAGGAGACAGTCGGATGTCGATGGGTATTCACAGTGAAGTATAAGGCCGATGGCAAGATAGAGAGGTACAAGGCAAGGTTGGTATCAAAAGGGTATACTCAAACCTATGGTGTTGATTATCTGGAAACCTTAGCACCAATAGATAAGATGAATTCAGTTCATATCCTTTTATCTCTAGCAACCACCTATTCATGGCCCTTGTTCCAGCTTGATGTCAAAAATGCTTTCTTCAATGGTGACTTACAGAAAGAGGTATATATGGACATTCCAGTAGGCTTTTATGAAAATGTTGGTAAAGGAAAGGTGTACAGACTCAGAAAATCTCTGTATGGACTGAAACAGTCACCTAGGGCTTGGTTTGACAGGTTCAGAGGGGCACTCATCTGCTTTGGATACACACAGACACAATCTGATCACACCCTCTTTGTGAAGAGGAGAGATGCTCTGGTGTCAATTCTGATTGTGTATGTGGATGATATA